TGCCACGTCAGCTTTAACTTACACAAAAAATTCACTGGAAATGGGTTTGAAGCCCCGGGGCTTCAAACAGGGGCTTCAAACCTTCATTTTTTACATTTTTAAATATACATCTTCTAAATTTAAATTATTAAATTTTAATTAATTTATTATTTAAATTAATCAAAAGGAGATTAGTACATTAAAAAAATTACATTCATTAAAAAAATATTACATTCATAGAAGAATACATTCATAAAAAAGTTTCATTCATTAAAAAAATATCACATCCATAAAAAAATAACACTACAAAGAAATTACTAATTATTCGAGCAACTAAAAATATCTTCATTGAAATTCAATTTGTAGTAAAATATTACAAACTGAAATAATTCATCAAATAAAAAATACAATCAATAAAAAAAGTATCTTAAATTTAATAAAAAACAAAACAAAATTACATTACTAAAAAAAAGTTGAACAAAAAAATATTACATTAAACTTAAAAATATAGAGTAAAAAAAATTATGTTTGTGTATATTTTTTTTAAAGAAAGAGTGGGGAGGGGGGAATGGTTTGAAGCCCGTTAAACATTTGAAGTAGAAGAGATGAAGCCCGGATGAAGCCCTAGGGGAGCGGTGTTTAACGCCCCCTGGGCTTCAAAAGTAGCATAACGCCGAGTGGCGTTACATGTATTACCAGTGCTCTAATGCTAAAATCACAAATAATTTGGACACAAAATACACAAATTTTGTATTTTTACACTTCCCCAAGTGAATATTGGGATAGAGGATCACATCCCCGTCGCCTGAGTCTCTGTTTCTCTCTCGCGATCCTATCCTCCGCCTGGCGCCCGTCGTGCCGGCGTCCCCCTCACTCTCTGCTCATCCACTGCAATTTGGCTAGAGCCCCAAATTTGTCTTAGTAAGTCCGATTCACCGTGCCCTAGTTTTAGCAATTCTATCCACCTAGTAATTGATTTTGTTCAAGATCCATTACTTTTTGAGAAGCTAGCAGAATTTCAGCGTTTGGGTTTTGAGGGATTTGCTGTTTTACAATTAAAAATGTGATTTTTTTGGGGGGTTGTTGTCCGTCCGAAGTTTGAATGATGAAGAAAATTTGTTGTTCTCTGTATCTTGTAAGGTATTAAGGTATTGGAGAATGGCAAAGGAAATCTAGAAATAAGTTTGGAAATGGTAAGGGAGTAAGGAACTAGATGTAGGGATGTACATGGGAAACATTTGGAAAAGTTTAGAAGAGCATTTAAAGTTCTTTTTTTTTTTGAAAATGTCTTGAAAACAACATAATCTATACTTCCTAGTTCCTACTAAGGGTAAGGTTTTCATATACATCCTCTCCCCAAACCTTAGTTTTTGTGGGATTTTGTTGTTGTTTGAAAATGTGTGAAATGATAAAAATTCAATGTGGACAGTTATATAAGTTGAATTGTCTTTGAATTATTTTTTTATTCACATATGAATAGTCGATATCCTCTCTACTTTCGAGTAGGGGTAATGTGTATGTACATACCCCCCCCCCCCCAAATCCTTGCTTTCGTGG